TTAATCAATCATTTGATCCAATAACCAGTGAGACGTTCACTGACCCAGACAGCCGATGGTTCCGTCCAGGCCGATGTAGTTGAGGTCGGCTCTGGCAGCCTGCCGGTCCCGGGGGTCCTCCTGGGTCCAGTCCTGCATGTCGAACACCTTCTTCTGGCGATACTCGGCGTTGGAGTCAAAGTTGATCTTGGCGTCCATACACATCACTGCAGACGGGAGAGAGGTTATTATTATTCCTATTATTAGGGACCGAGCCAGCGACCGCTGGAGGTCCCTATTGTTTTTGCTCGATTTCTTACCTATTATTATTTTTAGGAACTTTGACTGCGTTTTCCCCCCTGAACATTTACGAAAACTCAATTTTATTTGGCAAAGTTGTCAGGCCTGGTGAAAAATGTGATATTCTATGCATCACTTATGGGTCGGCCACTAGGTGGCGCTACTATTAAGGAAATAGCGATGACTTTTTTGATACTTAATAACTCCCACATCATTTGTCGCACATTCAAAAAAACGTATATCCACGGGTTCGGTGAATCGAGCTCAATCTCCCCATATAAGCCCCGCCCACTTCCGCCCATAATTTCTCTTCACTACAGTGCGTCTGATTTGCACAAATCTTTTCACCTAGCACCCGGGGACCGCCCTGGTAAAAAAAGTCATTTGAACATTTTTGAAATTTTTAAAAATAAGCACGCTATAAAATTAAGACTTCCTGTAGATTTTTCGTCAAAAAAGGAAGTGGACCATTTCTCCACATTGGTATGTGCGATTGACACCAAACTTCATAGTTCACCATGTCTTCCTTAGGCATTGTGCACAGTCTTGAACAATTTGATGCCACCGCCACAAGGTGGCGCTCTTTAAAATTAAAACGTTTATATCTCTGCATAGGTATGTGTGATTTAAATGAAACTTGGTATGATGCTTCCCCCTGGCTCCCTGAGGCTCCCTTAAGAAGGACAAAAAAATACGCCACTAGGTGGCGCTCTTTTGGCAGAATAAATCACCGTGCGGAGACCGTAATAGTTATGAATATGAAATTCCCAGGGCACGTGAAGAGTAGTGCCTGAAGCTCACATACCAAAAATCCTGTTTGTCGTGTGTGTAGCGCCCCCTACAGGATAAAAAAACAGCAGCCCCGGCCCCACGTTTCACCGATATGTACGAAACTCGGTAGGCAAGTGTAACATGCCGGGACGTACAAAAAAGCCTCTTGGACCCCTACCCCAAACCCCACAGGAAGTCGGCCATTTTGATTTAAAGTTTCACTTTCGGCGAACTTGTCGCGTTGTATTTGAACGACCTCCTCGTAGGGAATTTATCGGATCTGCTTCAAAATTGGTCAGTACAGTCAAAAAATGGTGCTCATCAAAAGTTGTGCTATTTGTGACTGTACGTTAAAGGGCGTGTCCGTGGCGTTCCCTTAAAGTTGGCCAGGTTGAATCGAATGTAAAGCTGTGATGCTATTTCCGGCATTTAAGGGCTTCTGTTTTAACTAACTCCTCCTACAGATTTTATCAGACTGACTTCAAATTCGATCACTTCAATCTACACACATTGGTTATCAGAAGTTGTGCTATTTCTGACTGTATGTTTAACCGTGTGCCCGTGACGACGTGTCGAATTCCACCGATTGGCCATCAAACAGATAGTACTCATAACTTCAGCGTACGTGGTCCAATCTCAATGAAACTTCACGTGTTTGATAACAGTCCCACCCTGAACTTGTCTACATGACAATATTAAGACATAGTGATAGCGCCACCTACCAGCAACAGGAAGTAAGCGCTGCGTGGCGATTTTGAGCTGATTTACGTGAAATTTCATGTGTTGGTCCGCACGTGTAACGATGGCACGCAACGCGGCCGCAGCACGCCCCGAGTTGCGTGGAGTGCGAGGTCCCGCCCAACGCTGCTTGCAGCTTTAATTATTATTATTATTATTATTATTATTATTGGTTATTATTTTTATTATAGGTATTATTATTATTCCTATTTTTTACTCCTATTATTATACGTTATTATTTTTATTATTATGGGTTATCAGCAGACTGAGAGACAGTGAACCCCCTTCAGGAACAATGAGTCGGGTTTATTGTCCCACGAGTCATGTTTCTGATTGTTTGACAGATTACTGAACATCCTGAAGTCGTTCTGTCGTTTCTTCCTCCTACAGGAACAATAAGGTTTATTTTCCATCTATCAGGTTCTAGTGTTGTTTTTATGTTCCCTGTTAGACTTTAATAAAATAATTAATAAACAAATAAAAATAGGATTATTAACATCAGATGATGTAATACTAATTAATAAACAATAAATCATTAAATGAATATAGAGAACATGTGTCAGTAAAATTTAATATTGAATACATTCTGTCTTTAAACAGTTTTATTGTTCATATTGTTGGAAATGTTACATCAGACATTTTTAATAAAAACAAAGATTATAAGAACAAGTTTAAACTGTTAATAAAGTTTGTTCAAATTTTAAATAATATTGTCTATTATCCTTCTTATTGCTATTATTTGTTTTCTTAATCTTCTGATTAACTTTTTAGAAAAGCTTTTATCGAAAACACCATTTTATTTTATTGTCATTTTTATCTTTGTATTTTATTTTGAAATCTACCCTGTTTAGTCTGTCTGAACTGTCTGTCTGAACTGCTGTACAGATAAAGTTTGATTGATTGATTGATTGATTATGTATTAGAACTACTGTTACTGTGGCGTCTGATGTGGTTAGCGGTGTGAGCGTACCGATGCCAGACGAGTCCTCCACCATGGGGTTGATCTCCAACATGGAGGCGTCGTACTTCATGAACACGTTGTACAGTTTGATCATGTTCTCCGCCGCCTCGTTCACCAGCGCCGGCGGGAAGCCCATCGCCTCAGCGACCTGCAGAAACACAGCCAGCAGGTTAGCTTAGCATAAAGGCTGGAAACAGAGGGAACAGCTAGCCTGGGGAGGGAAGGAGGAAGCTGACCGAGGCTTGCTCAACTGTTATTGGAGCACAGAGTGAAAGAGGCGGGGCTTAAGACGGGTCAATCTTTAAACTTCCTGTTAGTGTTTGCTGGTGGGAATAAAGACGCTAACGGACTCAAACCGCTGAACCATCAGAACCAGGAGCCTCAAACTGCATCACTTCCTCCGAAATCTTTAAACTGCTTTAACACAGAGAAACACACACACACACACACACACACACACACACACACACACACACACACACACACACACACACACACACACACACACACACACACACACACTCTCACAGAGGACAGAAATAAAAGGAGTGAAGGAACATCAATGGAGCTCCATCTACTCACAATCAGCACCTCCACTGTCAGACATATCGAACCTCTCACTGACACACACACATTCAATATCCACACAGACAGACAGACAGACACAGACAGGCAGACAGACAGAGACAGACAGACAGGCAGACACACAGACAGACAGAGACAGACAGACAGACACACAGACAGAGACAGACAGGCAGACAGACAGAGACAGACAGGCAGACAGACACACAGACAGACAGAGACAGACAGACAGACACAAAGACAGAAAGACAGACAGACAGACACACAGACAGGTGGGCTGCCCTTCTCTGATTAGAGGACATTAACTCTGGTTTTATAGAGATGTCCCTGTCTGTGTCACTGTCCCTGTCTGTCTGTCTGTCTGTCTGTCTGTCTGTCAGCACTGGAGGTGGAGTCGGGTCCTGTGAAGATGGAGAACAGGTGAACTCCAGGTGTGACTCAACCCTGAGCTGTCTCACATACGGGACCAACAGAAAGTGAGGAGACAGATTGGACCTGGATCTTGTTAGAACTAGTTTTCCTCCTGAGAGATGAAGCACTCTCTCCTCTTCCTCGTCTTCGATCTGCTAACCACGCAGCTGGAACTGAGGCTCACTGCGTCTACTATTGATCCTACCTTGACAGCCTGCTCCATCTTAATGCCCTCCACGATGTCGATGGGTTCTTTCACAATGGCGTCTGGATTCTCTGCCGCCACGTCTTCGATGTTCACGCCCCCCTGCGAGCTGCCAATCAGCACGGGGCCCTGCGGGACCCGAGAGGGTTTCAGTTAGGACATCTGAGGAACTGCTGCCATCAGTTTCAGGTTGTGGTCTGAACAATTATTTACATTACATTCATTTTACAGTATCTAAAGCTCCAGGTTAGAATTATATTTATATATTATTATATATTAGAATTCATTCAGCCAATACAATGACTGACTTTATATTAATATTGGGTCCTTTTTACCCACCTGATGGTTATAAAGGCTATATATTTAGATATAGTGAGAACATAACTCTGTTCTAAACAAATCTAACTGACATCACTGTTGTTTATAACAACAACAAACAGTTCTGTCTGCACAAACAGACTCACAGAAATTAAAGACTAACAATTGTTCTGTATAAGAATCCAAAATAAATGATTATTATGGACCAATAATTTATCAGCTGCAATAATCTATAATAATATAGAGCTCCCATTATCGCCCCTGATATGAGATATGAGATATGATATATAGATATATATGAGAGGAACAGTTTCAGATTCACTGAGTCCAACGTCTGCACGCTCACACTGCATGCTGGGTACAAAATAAAAAGCTCTTCATGTCTCTGGATCTTGAAGAGGATCACAGTGTCCCTTTAATGAGAGGGTTTGTTCCTCAGAGGACTTTGTTTTGTCCTTACTCTGCTGTAGATGAACTCGTTATCTCTGTATGAGTGTGTATAATGCAGGATAATGATCATCTGTCTGTACTGCAGTACGGTCCTTGAACTGCTCACACAAACTAAAAGTGAACTGTTAAACTACAGACAGACGGTGTCTGAGGATGTCTGAGAATATAAACTGTAATCTTTATCTTCAGGCTGAATGAGGACTCACTGGATGTTTGACCTCTGACCTTCAGTCTCTGACACACAGTCTGCAGTGACACTCAGAGGCTGTGAACTGTGAGTCTGCCTCCTGCTGGACTCATTTTATATTGTTCTTCCTCTCAGCCAGCGCTGCACGCTGCGATAACAGCATCACACTGATATTATTCTGACAGACAATCAGTGAGATCATCTGTAACCAATAATAATAATAATAATAATAATAATAATAATAATAATGACATTTTACACTAATGTGTGTGATTCACTCTCTCTGACTGACCTGGTTCTCTCGTCTCATTGGTTAGTTTAATCAGCAGCTCCTTTCAATCAGTGCAGCTCAGGGTTCTCTACAAGTTTCATTTAATCTTTCACTCTACAGTTAATTTCCTTTAAACTAGACTATAGAACAGAACCACTCAGCTGTTACACCAGATGAAGATTCTGCTTCTGACTGAATAAAGAAATAAAGATCAAACAGTCTGATGGATCTTTATTCTTGGTGCAGTGCTGCCATCCAGTGGTGTGATTGTCTCTCTCCACCACCGTCACAAACAGCACACATATAAGACACTTCGGCCTGTTGCTAGGATACGTCACAGAGAGTGCAGCGCTGTAAACAAATACAGTAAACTGAGGAGCACCTTTACATTTTTATATTCAAAGCTTCATGATAAATTAAATCCCGGTGCAATATGGCGTCAGTGTGTGTGTGTGTGTCAGCAACCTGTAGGACCAATCACAGCCATTCTCTCACCTGGAAGGACCTCTCCATGGTGATGGCGAAGTAGTACTCTCTGCGCGGGTACCTGCGCTCACAGATGAACACCTGGTTACAGATACGACCCGCCTCCCCGGTCTGCTTGGTGTACAGCTTTCGACCAATCATCTGGGACGAAATGTCACGGGCCTCCTCTGGTCTGCGGGAGGAGGAAGAAGAGGAGGAGGAGGAGGAGGAGGAGGAGGAGACGCTGTGTAAACTGCTTCCTCATCAACTTTTGATCTATTTGACATCTCAAATAAATGATATACCTTAAACACTGCGACACTTACATGCAGATTCATTCACATGGTGAGTAACCATGTGAATGAATTCTGGCTGTTTACCCTACTGTTGTAGCTGTGAAAAAGGTCTAACAGGTGGAACAGGAAGTGGAACTAACTGCAGATTATTTGTTATTTGATGACTTACGAGTAGACGATCTTCACTCCTCCCTTCAGTCCGCCCTCGAACGTCCCCTTCCCTCTGCCGCCAGCCAGAACCTGAGCCTTCACCACCAGGTCCTTAGACTCTGTGACACACACACACACACACACACACACACACACATTAATATAACACATAATTAACTGTGATAGTGACAACAGAGACTGATGTCTTCTGTCTCACTGCAAATAAACTCACTAATTAATGATGGATTAATATTAATGCTTCACTCAGTGAATGTTTCAGCCTCATGTTCAGCTGTGTAGTGCTGACACCTTGTGGTCGCTCTGGTGTTACTTTAATGAGGAGAACGTTGAGACATATGCAGACCTGATGTATGTTGATATATTTTATATTATATTATATATATATATATATATATATATATATATATATATATATATATATATATATATAAAAATATAATATATAATATAATATAATATATTGTATTCTTTAATTGTGGTTCTGTTTAAATAATCATCTGGTTATAAACATAAACAACTCCAACTGGCGGCCTGGAGACAGCCGGACTGAACCTACTGAATGTTTCCTCACCTGTCAAATGACCTCAAGTAACAATCTCTAATTTAAAATTATCTGTGAGCCGACTTCACGCTGTGAGTTTTTGCCTTTATATTGTTCTCTGTTGTTTTATATTGTTTTGTGTTGTTTTGTGTTGTTCTATGTTGTTCTATGTTGTTTTATATTGTTTTATATTGTTCTATGTTGTTTTATATTGTTTTGTGTTGTTCTCTGTTGTTTTATATTGTTTTATGTTGTTTTATGTTGTTCTGTTGTTTTATATTGTTCTATGTTGTTCTATGTTGTTTTATATTGTTTTGTGTTGTTCTCTGTTGTTTTATATTGTTTTATGTTGTTCTGTTGTTTTATATTGTTCTATGTTGTTCTCTGTTGTTTTATATTGTTCTCTGTTGTTTTATATTGTTCTCTGTTGTTTTATATTGTTCTCTGTTGTTTTATATTGTTCTCTGTTGTTCTGTTGTTTTATATTGTTCTCTGTTGTTCTCTGTTGTTTTATATTGTTCTATGTTGTTTTATATTGTTCTCTATTGTTCTATGTTGTTTTATATTGTTCTATGTTGTTTTATATTGTTCTATGTTGTTTTATATTGTTCTCTGTTGTTTTATGTTGTTTTATATTGTTCTATGTTGTTTTATGTTGTTCTCTGTTGTTTTATATTGTTTTGTGTTGTTTTATATTGTTTTGTGTTGTTTTATATTGTTTTGTGTTGTTCTATATTGTTTTGTGTTGTTCTATATTGTTTTGTGTTGTTCTATATTGTTTTATATTGTTCTATGTTGTTTTATGTTGTTCTCTGTTGTTTTATATTGTTTTGTGTTGTTCTATATTGTTTTGTGTTGTTCTATATTGTTTTGTGTTGTTCTATGTTGTTTTATATTGTTCTCTATTGTTCTATGTTGTTTTATATTGTTCTATGTTGTTTTATATTGTTCTATGTTGTTTTATATTGTTTTGTGTTGTTTTATATTGTTTTGTGTTGTTCTATATTGTTTTGTGTTGTTCTATATTGTTTTGTGTTGTTCTATGTTGTTTTATATTGTTTTATGTTGTTCTATATTGTTTTGTGTTGTTCTATGTTGTTTTATATTGTTCTATGTTGTTTTATATTGTTCTATGTTGTTTTATATTGTTCTATGTTGTTTTATATTGTTTTGTGTTGTTTTATATTGTTTTGTGTTGTTCTATATTGTTTTGTGTTGTTCTATGTTGTTTTATATTGTTTTATGTTGTTCTATATTGTTTTGTGTTGTTCTATGTTGTTTTATATTGTTCTATGTTGTTTTATATTGTTTTGTGTTGTTTTATATTGTTTTGTGTTGTTCTATATTGTTTTGTGTTGTTCTATATTGTTTTGTGTTGTTCTATGTTGTTTTATATTGTTTTATGTTGTTCTATATTGTTCTAGTGTCATTTTGCTGCTTAGCTGTGCTGAACTTTGCTTTAGCATATTGCTAAGCATCTACTGCCTCAGGCTGGCAGATGTTGGACTGATGTTGTAATACTGAGGGACAGCAGAGACAAACTGTGTGAACATTAAACCCCATTTGAAGCCAGTACAAGTACAGTCGTAGGTGGGATACTGGTAACGCAGAAGCTAGCAGGTAGAGCGAACTCTAACAACTGATTGGTTGAAACTGGTAGTATTGTACGATGCATTGTTGTTGGAAGACTCTGAATGGAAGCAGATTTCTAATAGTTCTTCCCCTGTAACAGCTGACACCGCCCTCTCCTCCCAACTGGTCGAGACAGACGACCACCCACCTAGAGCCGGAGGATCTGTCCTAGGTTTCTGCCTTTTAACAGGCAGTTTTTCCTTGCCCTTGTCTCCAAGGTCTTGCTCATGGTGGTACTGTTGGGTCTCTGTAAATAATGTTATAAAGAGTTCGGTCTAGACCTGCTCTATTTGAAAAGTGTCCTGAGATAACTTCTGTTATGAATTGGCGCTATACAAAATTGAAATCTTTATATGTTCTGTTGAAATAATCAGTTAATGTGACGTGAACACGGCTCTCATTCTTCTGAGGCAGGCCATTAAATTATCTAAATAAAAAACGACAAAAATCTGCAAAAAACCACCGGCAACAGTCGATATATTAGTCCAACTCTAACACGGAGCAATGTGATCATTCCTGTGGTGTTTGTGTCACCTAAAGAAAACCAGTATTTCCTGTTTTAGCTCTGAGTTTTGTCCAATTCCTGAAGGAAATATCAGTTTAGCTGCTGAATGCTCTGAGAGCACGGAGAGGGAACCAGAACAGACAAACAGCGAGCTGAACCTGCTGATCATTCACCACCAGAGACACCTTCATACATTATCATATGTATTATATGTTACAGCAGCTTTAAGGGCTGAAACTGCTCACATGGCGGTCCAACTGTTGAACACTGGTGCGACCTCTCACTATGCTGGAATTATGTAAGTCGAGTGTCAACTGATAGCACTGAAGCAGGAGGCTAAGTTTAGACTGTCTTTACTGAACAACCTCGGCTTCAGCTGTTTAAAACCCGCTCACACAAAAGGTCACGAGGTATCACAAATAACTTCTCCTCACAAACTGTGGCTGCATCCAGACACACTCAATCTCCAGTACTGAGCTTTCTCGGAGGTAAATAAGTCTGATACTGATATTAACTGATTATCGGCTCTCCCTCCGGGCTCGGTGCGGCTCACCGATCTGTTTGGCCACTTCGTAGGCCTCCTCCGAGGAGCTGGCCACCATCCCAGTCGGCACGGAGATACCGGCCTCCTTCAACAGGCCCAGGCTCATGTACTCGTGGAGGGAGAGGTTCCTCTGCTGCTGCTGCAGGTGGGGGGGCAGCAGCTGGGACGCATGGCCTCCGAACAGACCGGAGGAACCACCGAGAACCTGGAGGGACGGGAGGAGCAACCAGAGCACAGGAGTTACTGCACAGAAGAACAATCACCTTCTCCTCGCTGTCCTTCAGGGCTCATTTTCTCTTCATGATGTACAAATATGTAAATTATAAACCTGAAGGTTGCACTTCTTGTTGACATGGCGACGTCCTTGGTTACCGTGGTAACAGTAAGTGCAGTTGAAGCAGCAACATTGTCAGAAATACAGAAGATTAACAAACTCACGTTGTTTAATAAAGATCAATAATCTATAAATAATAATTAATAAATAATAAAGTTTGAACTGTGTGCAGGAATGACCCCACCATCAACAATGACAACTACTATATTACTACAGCTGAGATAATAAAGACTATAAATTATATTAAAACATTTCATTTCAATCTGTCGGATTATAACTTCTAAGACATTCTATAATTAAAAAGAAAATACTGGTATTGTAGAGAATCTATATCTGGAATATTAAACATCTTATTGACACTTTTATTATTCTGTAAATACAAATTTAATTTAAATTGTTGATGGATTAATATTTTTACATTTTCTTTATAATTACTCTTTTTATTGTCCATTAAAAATATTAAATAATAAATTACCTATTTATATACTGACATTTATTTTTATTGTAGTTAGTTACTCATTAATGAAAACACTTTATTATGATTATTTCCGACATTAAAGTACAGCGAGAACCGACGGAGCAACGGAGGAAACGTCACTGAGGATATGAAACCAAAGTGTTTGAGTCAGCTGGACCTCAGAGACACGAGTCTGTCGGCTGTTTACTCAACAAACAACCTAATATGGTGCCTGTGTGAAGCTACTTACTCAAAAATACATACTCATTACTCTTTTCTAAAGTAATACTTTACTTGTTACTCCCTGCCAAAAGTAATTAGTTACACTGCTAGTTAGATTACTTTTCTGTTACTCTAATTCAGACTGATGAAGATTAAAATCCAGTTAGTATTATTTGTTAAAATCAAAGTAATGGAGTATTTCCAGCTGCTGAACACAAACTAGTTTCCTCCACGATTACATTCAAGGATGTGATTGGATTATTGATTTGAGTTTAAGTTATTATTATCATATTAGACAAATGATTATACATATTATACTATCAATTCATCTGTTGATCATTTTCTCGATTGTCAGAATATTGTTGATCAAACTGACGTCTTTAAATGTCTCATTCAGTCCACAACTCAGAGATATTCAGTTTACTGTCACAGTGGACTAAAGAAAAGAGGAAATCTTCACATTTGTGAAGCTGAAATCATTTTTACATTTCTTTCTGTAAGAAATGACTCAAAACGTGATCAATAGCTGACGTTTCATTGATTAATCAACTAATCGTTGCAGCTCCACATTTAGAATTAGCTTCATCTCAATAAACTAAAACATAACAATGCTGTCAAGAAGGAAATGAATCGTAGAAAGAGACGCCAGAGAAGATCTTTTAAAGTGTTTTATTTTATTGTTAGGTTTGAAGTCTTTATAGTTAATCATTGATCAAACTGGGATCATTATAAAGTCATTAATAAAAAGGAACAACCCTGAAGGTTTAAATATTCAGAAATATTAGAGTTATTTATACTAAAGGCTGTAAATATATATATCTATAGATATATATATATATATATATATATATATATATATATATATATATATATATATATATATATATATATTATAGGCTGTAAATACTAGGAAGAACTACATTATACTGCTCTTTGTCTTATTTTACTTTATCAAACTAATTGTAGCTTCTGTGATTTGCATATTGGTCATGTTGTGATTTCAATTCATCAATAAAATAAATAAAGTGTATTATTATAATTATGAACACAGACAAATAACACTAACTGTATTACTGTAACAATTTAAGATGTTATATCTGACTCTTTAACGCACCCTGAATCTGTGTGTTACATTAATATACTTCCCTCAGTGTTTATCTTGCACACTGTAATATTATTATTATATATTATTATATATCACTGTAATATATCACTAATATATCACTGATATATTATTATATATGCCATATTATTATATATCACTGATATATTATATATGTAATATTATTATATATCACTGATATATTATTATATATGTAATATTATTATTATATATTATTATATATCACTGTAATATATCACTGTAATATTATTATTATATATTATATATCACTGTAATATTATTATAATATATATTATTATATATCACTGATATATTATTATTATTATATATTATTATATATCACTGTAATATATCACTGTAATATTATTATTATATATCACTGTAATATTATTATTATATATTATATATCACTGTAATATTATTATTATATATTATATATCACTGTAATATTATTATTATATATTATTATATATCACTGATATATTATTATATATGTAATATTATTATATATCACTGATATATTATTATATATCACACTGAACAATATTTCACAGATAACTAACAGTTATATTGTCTCTCTTTATATCTTTCTTTGTGTTTCTCTGTTGTAGTGCACCGCTGTAGGAAGGGCTAATTCACTGTATGTGAACACTGATTATAATATTGTATGTTAGAATGATCTTAATCTCAGATATTGTTATTAAATAAATATATTAATATATATATTATTGACTATATTCACAGTTTAACCTCTCTGACCCGTCCTTCACTTTAACAGCAGCACACTGATGTTTGAACCTGTTTATACCTGCAGAATAACCACAGACAGGCAGACAGACAGGCAGACAGGCAGACACCTACTCTGTCCGCCATCAGGAGCAAAATGTGTCTCTGTCTCTGCTGTGTCTCTACTGTCTCTCTACTGTGTCTGTCTCTACTGTCTCTGCTGTCTCTCTACTGTGTCTCTGCTGTGTCTCTACTGTCTCTCTGCTGTGTCTCTACTGTGTCTCTGCTGTGTCTCTACTGTCTCTCTGCTG